TTGTCACCTGATCCGCGTGTGCAGGAGAGGCGTTTCCGGAGCGTTTTGCAGGCGTCATGGGGGCGTCCTCGGGCCTCGACATTGGGTGGGCGGGTCGGGGGGTGCAGCCAGGGCCACGTGTTCCGAAGGGCTGTTCCGGAGCATGGAGGACGAAGGGCTTCTGGCGGGCTTCTGAAGGTCTGCGTGGAGGCCTCCTGCGAGCTCGGTGGGGGTTTCTTGAGGCCTCCTGGGGGCTTCTTGGGGCAGAGGGCGCCTCTGTTCGGGCATGTGGTGGGCTCTCTGGAGCCTCCTGGGAACATCTTGGGCCGTTCAAGGTGCTCTCTGGGGCCGTCTGCAACGCGTGTGGGCCTGGCTGGGGCGCCTCTTGGGCCGTCCTGGCCCCCCCGAGGAGGCCTCTGAGGCCGCTTTCATCATTGACCATCCTCGTCATCACAACGCTGAACATCAACATCGTCATCGTCGTCGTCGGCCAGCTGCTCCAAGAGAAGCCTCCGGGAACATCCGGTCCCTGCGGCGGTCCAAGAAGCCTCTCGAATCTTAGAGAGCCCCCCAGAAAGGGCTTTTAGGCCGTCATTGGGCTCTCTTGCGCCTCTGAAGCACATGGTTGATGGAACGCTCGGGGCCGTTATGGGGCCATCTTGGGCGCTTCCTAAGCCGGCTTGGGGCGCCTTTTGAAGTCATATTGGGACTGGATTGGGTCCAACTCGGGCTGTCGTGGGGCCCTGCTCGGACCCTCATCGGGGAACAATCGAGGAGGAATGAAAAATGGGCGGGGGGGGGGGGGGCAGAACCGCAACGCAGCCCCCCCCAGAACGCAGAGCGCTTGATGCGGCCATCCCCCACCGGAAATGCGCCCGCCCCGTGCGTCCCCCTACAACCCGTCCAATCGATGCTTGCCGTTTCGCAGCTCTCGTCGAACCTGCTGCTGGGGGTGGGGAAGACGAGTAGGGGCCTCTAAACGCTCTGCGACCGTGCCCCCCTTAGCGCCCCCCCTCACCCGGCGTCGGTTCCCAGGCTCGGGGGGGCTGCCTCAGGGGAAAGCACGACCCCCTGGGGTCACCAGGCAACGCTTCCTGTGGGTTCCTGGTGCCCCGAAAGGGTCCTAAACCCATTGAGGAAAAAAGAAGACGGGGTACCCAGCGCAACCCCAACAGGAGGGGACTGAATGTACGATCGCATTGCATTATTATCATGATGCCCTGCTCGACGGACAAATTTTCCTGGGCCTTCTTTCCTCTTTTGTCCTCCTCCCTCCTTGCCTTTTTGACTCGGGCTTCCCACCCTCCTCTTCCGACGGGCAGCGCGGAAACCAGCACGGCACTCGGCACGGCAAGCTGCACAGCCCACGGCACGGCACCAGGCAAATCACCACGTAAGTTGCTTGACGGAGGCAACGTCAATGTGGGTTCGCGGTGCCCCTCTTACGAATAATCGTCGGCACCCCCATCCTGTTGCTAATTCGTGGTGCCCTTCCTGGTGTGAGGGCTTCCTTCTCCCTCCTCCTCGTTTCTGGCATCCTTTCTTCTACGGATAATCCTCGTCATCAACGCTCTCAAGTTTCCTGAGTCTGAGCCGCCTCCCTCTCTGACTCATTGTCCTCCTCCCTCCTCCTCCTCCTCCTCCTCCTTCTCCTCCTCCTCTTCATCCTCCTCCCTCCTCTCTCCTCCTCCTCCTCGTCGACAATGACATGATCCTGGGCCTCTCCCCTCTTTCCCCTTCCGGCCGCCCGCGGCCACTGCCTCCCTCCCCCACTCGTCTTCCTTCAAATCGCCCTCTTCCCTCTGCCGTCCTGCCCCTCGCTTCTGACGGGTGATGCTCGGCATCCCCGTCCCCGCACAGATTCCTCCTCCCCTTCCTAATGCAAATCCTCTCCCTCCTCCTTCTCCTCTTCTCCTCTTCTCCTCTTCTCCTCTTCTCCTCCTCCTCCTCCTTCTCCTCCGCCTCGACGAAGGGGCATGGCGGCGGAAGCCAGACAGCGCCACAGTCCAAATAGGAATGGGACATCAATATGTTTTGCCTCGTGGTGCCTTCGGCCCATCCCGCTTCCGTGTCTGGTTGTGGGTTAGAGGCTTCTCGGATGTTCGCTGGGATGATATCGTGGGGTGCCTCCCGGGGGGGCCTTTTGGAAGCAGGTTTGAAGCCTCCACGGGGGCGTTGTAGAGCTTGTCGGACCTCTCTTAGGCATCTTTGGGGCCTCGTTGGAGCCTCTTGGAGCCACTTGAGGGCCTCTTGGGGCCTCCTGGGGGCCTCTGGGAGCGGAAGCTCGAAAGGTCGGTTCGCGCTCCCTCTCTTGGGCCCATCTTGGAGCCGTCTTTAGGCCCTCTTCAGGGCCTCTTGGGCCGTCTTGGAGGCCTCTTGGGCCGATCATGCGGCCCTCTTGTGCCGTCTTGGGGACCTCTTGGGGCGACGTTGGAGGCTTTGGGGCAGGCTTGGAGTGTCGGCCGCTCGAAAACGTGAGAAAGCAAAACATTGGAAACACACAATGAATTAGCCTGGCGAAGAACCCAACCATATGCAGTTGTCAGTACCGCAGCTGCGGGTTTCATCTTCAATGGAACTCCCCATCGGACTACGGAACTTGTGAGGGGTGTGCCGAGATGGGTGCCACTGGGGCATTCGGCGAAGCTCCCTATGGGGACATGAAACACGCGCGGGGCGTGCCGACATGGGTGGCGGAAACGCATGTGCGGGCCGCCACTGGGGCCTCCAGTGGAGCTCCCTATGGGTCCCCGAAACATGATGCTGCTGCGGGGGGGGGCCGGGATGGGTGGCGGAGACGCATGTAAGCGCCGCTACTGGGGCCTTCGGTGGAGCGTCCTATGGGGCCACAAAGCGCGTGAGGGGTGTATTGGGATGTGTGGCGGGGACGCATGTGAGCGCCGCCACTGGGGCCTTCGGTGCAGCTCTCTATGGAGCCACGGAACGTGTGAGGGGTGTGCCGAATTGGGTGCGGGTGGTGACGCATGCGGGCGGTGCCCTTGGGGCCTTCGGTGGAGCTCCCTATGGGGCCACGAAACCTGTTGTTGTGAGGGGCGTGCCGCGATGGGTGGCGGGGACGCATGTGAGCGCGGCCGCTGGGGCCTTCGGTGGAGCTCCCTATGGGGCCACGAAGCGTGTGAGGGGTGTGCCGAATTGGGTGGGTGTGGGGACGCATGTGAGCGCCGCCACTGGGGCCTCCGGTGGATGATGGGGCCACGAAACCTGTCAGGGATGTGCCGACATGGGTGCGGGGACGCATGCGCACGTGAGCGCCGCCACTGGGGCCTTCGGTGGAGCTCCCTATGGGGCCACGAAACGTGTGAGGGGTGTGCCGAATTGGGTGTGCGGGACGCATGCGGGCGGCAGCACTGGGGCCTTCGGTGGGGCTCCCTATGGGGCCACGAAACGTGTGAGGGGTGTGCCGAATTGGGTGTGCGGGACGCATGCGGGCGGCAGCACTGGGGCCTTCGGTGGGGCTCCCTATGGGGCCACGAAACGTGTGAGGGGTGTGCCGAATTGGGTGTGCGGGACGCATGCGGGCGGCAGCACTGGGGCCTTCGGTGGGGCTCCCTATGGGGCCACGAAACGTGTGAGGGGTGTGCCGAATTGGGTGTGCGGGACGCATGCGGGCGGCAGCACTGGGGCCTTCGGTGGGGCTCCCTATGGGGCCACGAACGTGTGAGGGGTGTGCCGAATTGGGTGTGGGTGACGCATGCGGGCGGCAGCACTGGGGCCTTCGGCGGAGTGGGCCACGAAACGTGTGAGGGGTGTGCCGTGACGCATGCGGGCGGCAGCAAAATTGTGGGGTGTAGGGGTGCGACGCATGCGGGCGGCAGCACTGGGGCCTTCGGCGGAGCTCCCTATGGGCCACGAACGTGTGAGGGGTGTGCCGAATTGGGTGTGGGTGACGCATGCGGGCGGCAGCACTGGGGCCTTCGGTGGAGCGTCCTATGGGGCCACGAAACGTGTGAGGGGTGTGCCGACTTGGGTGTGCGTGACGCATGCGGGCGGCAGCACTGGGGCCTTCTGTGGGGCTCCCTTTGGGGCCACGAAGCGTGTGAGGGGTGTGCCGAATTGGGTGTGGGTGGCGCATGCGGGCGGCAGCACTGGGGCCTTCGGTGGGGCTCCCTATGGGGCCACGAAACGTGTGAGGGGTGTGCCGAATTGGGTGTGGGTGGCGCATGCGGGCGGCAGCACTGGGGCCTTCGGCGGAGCTCCCTATGGGGCCACGAAACGGTGTACTGGGTGGGTGAAGAGGAGAGGAGGGAGGAGGAGGGGGAGGAGGAGGAGAGGAGGGGAGGGGAGAGGAGAGGAGGACGCGGGGACCGTCTCTTCAAAACGAAGACCCAACACCACAGGATGGTTGGGGAAAAACATGATTTTGGCGTCTTCGGGCTCTCTTTGAGGTCCTCGCGGAGCGACCTTGGGGCCTCTTGGGGGCCTCTTGGGCCGATCATGGGGCCATCTTGGGCGGCTTGGAGCGCTCTTGAGCCGTCTTGGCGGCTTCTTGCCGTCCCCAGAAGTCTAAGTGGACGCCTCGGGGAAGCGAAACAAAAATCCGGGACTCCGAAAACAAGCCCCTGGATGCCGAAAAAGGCCCCCGCACCCCAAGGCGCAAATTCGGCTACGGGGAGGGGGGGAGTGTGCGAGCCCGGGCCGCGGGCCCCCCGACGCCGCTTATATGCATATGTATATACACTATTGTGTATATGTACCTGTGTCTACGTATATGAACATGTACCTCTGGCGGCTCCAACAGGGGCGGATAGTCCAAGGGGGATCTTCACACGTATCCCGAGGCGCCGATTGCACATGTCTTCGACGGGGCTCCCCAGCGAAGACGTGCAATGCCAGCCCCTAGGCTATCCACCCTTTTTGCTTGAAAACGCGATGATAGGTCGGACGTCGCGCTTCACGCAGCGACGCTTGCCACCTGACCTTTGCCACCGAAGCCCAACCATTTCTCCCGACGGGCGCCAGCCTTGCCAGTCGCCCAAGGCTTCTTGGGTGTCGCCCATAACCTGGGGCGGCGGCGGCCAGGGAACGAGGCCCCGAGAGCCGAGTTCGCGCCCTCCCCCACTCAGCCTTCATACTTTTCCCTCCACCCCCTCTTCCTCACCTCTCCTCCTGGTCTCCTGCGCCTGCACCTCCGCACCCAAATCTTCCTCCCCCTCCTCCTCCTCCTCCTTTTCCTCCTCCTCCCCTTCCTCCTCATCCTCCTCCTAATCCTTATTCTCCCCCTCCTCCTCTTCCTCCTCCTCCTCCTATACCTCCTCCTCTTCCTCCTCTTCAACTTCCTCCTCGGCCTCATCATGATCATCATCATGGCCAGGATCAAATCAGTGGTCATCACCATCATCATCATCATCATCATCATCATCATCATCATCATCATCATCATCAGCATCATCATCATCATCATCATCATCATCATCGTCATCATCATCATCATCATCATCATCATCATCAGCAGCAGCAGCAGCAGCATCCTCATCCAGCATGAGCATGAGCATGAGCATCATCATATCAACATCCTCATATCATCCAGCATCCGCATCCGCATCCGCATCCGCATCCGCATCAGCATCAGCAGCAGCAGCAGCAGCATCATCATCATCATCATCATCATCATCATCATCATCATCATCATCATCATCAGCATCAGCATCATCATCATCATCATCATCATCATCATCATCAGCAGCATCAGCGTCAGCATCATCATCATCAGCATCATCAGCAGCACCATCAGCATCAGCAGCATCATGGCGATCGCCGCAGATGCAGCCGCAGCCGCAGGTGCAGCATCAGTTGCAGCCGCAGCTGCAGCCGCAGCTGAAGCGTCGCCTCGAGTGTGGGACGCGAGGGCTGGCGCTGGGCCTCTGTCCCGGGCGCGCCAGCAGGCACTGCTGCCGCCAAGGTGGCGCGGCGCCACAGGCGCCGAGCGCGCGGAGTCCGCTGACGACGACTCGCACGGCGAGTCGGACGTCAGCCTCGATGAAACTGGGGTTGATGTGGAGCCACGCTGCTGGCCTAGCCTGCGGCGCGGCCGCCTGAGCCGCCAGCGGCGACGGCTAGGGGCGATGGCCCGCTGGCCGCAGGAGATCGGGTGGCGGTCATCCGGGGCGCGCGCGCGCGCCAGAGAGGAGGAAGGGGTCTTCCTGTGCAGCAGGTCGGGATAGGCCGCGTTCGCTTCGCGGTGGGCGACGCGGTGCTCGTCGAGCTCCGCCGCTTGCGCCGGCTGGCGGGACTGGCCCCGCCCGAGGGGGGGCGGTCGCGGCGGTCGGCGGCGGGCGGCGGGCGGTGCCCGAAACGGGCGTGAGGCTCTTGTCGCAGGACGAGCGTTTGCGTGCGCCTCCTCCCCGCCTGCTCCTCCTGCTCTTCCTCCTCTCCCCATCTCTGTGGCCGATGATCGCTTGCTGAATAAAATCATCATCATCATCATCATCATCATCATCATCATCATCATCATCATCATCATCATCATCATCATCATCATCATCATCATCATCATCATCATCATCATCATCATCATCATCATCAGCATCATCATCATCACCATCATCACCATCATCATCATCATCATCATCATCATCATCATCATCATCATCATCATCATCATCATCAACATCCTCCGCCTGCCATCCCTCCCTCCCGCCTTTCTCTCTCCTTGCCTCCAGCGCCCTGCTGCTGCTCCCTCCCGCCCTCCTCCCTCCCTCCCTCCTTCCCTCCCTCTCTCCTCCTCCCCCCTCCCTCCACCGTCCTCAGTCACTCATCCCTCCCTCCTCTCTCCCTCTCCCTCTCCTTCGTCCTCATCCTCATCCTCCTCTTCCTCCTCCTCCTCCTCCTCCTCCTCCTCCTCCGCGTCTTCCTCCTCCTACCTCACCTCACCTCCTCCGTCTCCCCCTCCTTCCTCCACAGGCGCTGAGCCTCCAGGCCGAACGCAGGTGCCGAGCACAGGCCCCCCTCCTTTTCCTCCTCCTCCTCCTCCTCCTCCTCCTCCTCCTCCTCCTCCTCTTCCTCCTTCCCTCTGCGCGGCTGCCGAGCACAGGTGCCGAGCCGAGCCTCCGGGCCGAGCACCGCCGACAGCCGCAGGTGCCGAGCACAGGTGCCGAACACAGGCCCCTTCCTCCTCCTCCTCCTCCTCCTCCTCCTCCTCCTCCTCCTCCTCCTCCTACTCCTACTCCTGCTCCTCCTCCTCCTCCTCCTGCAGTTATTTTCCTTAGTCGCTAGAATATATTATTACTCCCCCCTCTGGCCGGCCGGTAGCGGCCCCATCCGGGCCCTCCCATCCGAACATTAAAAAAATATCCCAGTGCGACCCTACGTAGGAGTTGGAGCCCCTAGGAAAGCAGCATTAGTAGTAACAGTAAATCTAAGCTACAGCTAAGCTAAAGCTACGCTAAAGCTAAAGCTAAGCTAGAGCTAAGCTCAAGCTAAGCTACAGCCGAGCTAGAGCTAAGCTAGAGCTAAAGCTGAGCTAAAGCTAAAGCTAAGCTAAATCTAAGGTAAAGCTAAGGTACAGCTGAGCTACAGCTAAGCTAAAGCTAAGGTAAAGCTAAGCTACAGCTAAGGAAAAGCTGAGCTAAAGCTAAGCTAAAACTAAGCTGAAGCTAAGCTAAAGCTAAGCTACATCTAAAGCTACAGCTAAGCTAAAGCCCAGCTAAAGCTAAAGCTACATATAAGCTAAAGCTAAGCTAAAGCTAGGCTGCAGCTAAGCTAAAGCTAAGCTAAAGCTAAGTTAAAACTCAGCTAAAGCTAAGCTAAGCTAGAGCTAAAGCTTAGCTAAAGCTAAGCTAAGCTAAGCTGAAGCTAAGCTATGCTAGAGCTAAAGCTAAAGCTAAAGCTCCCAGGGGACTGGGGGAACTGCTCCCAGGGGACCGGGGGGACCGCCCGGGGCGGTTTCCACTGCCCGGCCCCTTTAAGCCAGAAAGTAAGAACCCTTCTAGGCAGAGCCCAGGTAGGGAATAATACAAAAACGTAGATGTTTCTCTCAACATGGCCGTTCTTGTCGTCAACGATGCGAAATGCGTAGCAGGAACGGGACGCGGCGCACTTCGCGCGCGGCCGTCAATCCGGGCCCTCCCATCTGAACTGTAAAAAACAATCCAACGTCGTCGTTTTTCTATCAAAATGGCCTTGTCTTGTCGTCGACGATGCGAAATGCGAAGCAAGAGTAAAACTCGGCGCGCATCGCGCGCGCGGCCGTCAATCTGGGCCCTACCATCCTAACTGTAGAAACCAATACAAAATCATTGTTTTTTCTTTCAGCATGGTCTGTCTTTTCGTCGACGATGCGAAATGCGTGGCAGGAAGGGGGCGCGGCGCACATCGCGCGCGGCTGTCAATCCGGGCCCCCCCATCCTGACGGAAAAAAATGAATACAAAATCCCTGTTGTTCCTCTCAGCATGGGCTATCTTGTCGCCGACGATGCGAAATGCGTAGCAGGAGCGGGACGCGGCGCACATCGCGCGCGGACGTCTGGGGCAACCCCGAGCGGCCATCCGACCTATCCAAAACTAATACAAAGTCCAGCGAAGACTTTCTTGTCGTCGGTTTTGCGGAATGCGTGGCAGGAATGGGGCGCGGTGCGCATCAAGCGCGACAGGGCAAAATGTCGCTCCCGCTTCGGCGCCGCGCGCATTCTTTCTGAAAATTGCACTCCCGCTAAGGTGCGGCGCGCATTTTTCGCTCGCCAATTCGTCGAGCGCCTAGGGCCCCCTGGGACCTGCCAGGGTTTCCTGGAACATCCTGGGGCTTCCCGGGGCTTCCCCAAGACCTCGTGGATCCTCCTGGGGCCTCCTGAGGCACCCTTGGAGTTCCTGGGAGTCCCCGGGTCTTCCTGACACCTCCGAGGGCCCCTGGAGCCTCCTGGAAACTCCTGGGGCTTCCTGGGCCCTCCTGAAGCCTCCAGGGGCTACCTGGGGTTCGCTAAGGCTTCCTGCAACCTCCTAGGGCCTCCTGAGGCCTCCTGGGGCCTCCTGAGGCTTCCTGGGGCTCCTCGGCTCGTGCTGAAATGCCAGCGCAGTCTTTGAGACGCGCCAGGAATTTCCCATCGGTAGCCACCATCGCGGCTGCATCAGCTGTGGCAAACCACTTTGCCGATCTGACTTCGGTCCCAGGTTGCGCCAGCACTGGTTCTCATGTTGTGGGAGGGCGGGTGAGAATGGGCATGCCATGCTTGACTCGCTCGAGCTGGCTAGCTTGACTCCTACTCCTTCTCATCCTCCTCTGCGCGGCACGGCCGCCGAGCATCGGTGCCGAGCCTCCGGGCCGAGCACAAGAGTCGAGCACCGCCGACGGGCGCAGGTGCCGAGCACCGGCGCCGAGCCTCCGGGCCGAGCCTCCGGGCCGAGCACTAGGCCCCTATTCCTCCCTCTCCTTGGTCCCCCTCTGCCCCTCCTTCTCCTTACTGCCCCCTCTGATAAGTAAACGCTCGAAGCGGGCGTTCTGATGATTCGACGCCGTGAGGCACACGTGCTCGCGACGGGTTAAGCGTCGTCGGCCCATGGAGGGCGCGAGCGCGAACGTGACTGTGGTTGAGGCCGCTGCTGTTGCTGCCTCCCTCCCCCTCTTGCTCCCCCTGGGCGAGTGGATAGCAGCGCGCGGTGACGACTCTCACCAGGCTCTTCCATTTCCCCCCACACATTGCTGTTGTGCCCCGAGCTTCGCGCGATGGCACCCTTGCGCGATCGCTCTCGATGCCGCAGCCGTGACCTACGGCGAAGGTCGGCTGGAGATGGAGCCCCGTGGCGCGGGCGCAGCCGCCGTGACTCCCGCGGTCGCCGCGATGACAAGTCCAGATTCACCGCGTCGGAGGTGTACGGCCGCTCCGGCCCACTCTCCAGCCGTGAGGCTGGTGAACCCCCCGCCGCAGCTGCCGCCCCAGCCCGCAGCATGAACTCACCGAGCACGGGCATGGCGCAGCTGGCCGCCGACCCCGCCCAACAAGAACTCTGGCAGCGGCTGCAGGCCTGGCTCGAGCAACAGGCGCGCCTGCCGCTGCAGCAGCAGCAGCAG